TATACCATCATCGCACTGCTAGACAGTGTATGCCCTTAGCTCTAATCATATTGATGTACTTATTGTCATTTGTTGTAAATGAATAAAGTACATAATTGATTCATGTTATTGTGGTATGTTTCTGTGTAATATCCTTAAATTGGATACATATGAGACTCGTGTTAGTTTTAAATATTCACAATCATTGGATAAATTTGGGGAGATTTTCCTACCAAGGTTGACACTGATGTACTGCCAAGTTAGTTGGGGTGGCTTGTCTCATCTACCAATGTGAGACCTGAGGTGCACACAGTGTGGGTTTTCTTGAAACCTTGAACCAGACCAAATTCCAGTGTTGCCCTAGACATTGGAGACAGATGGACAAAACTGGAATGTTACACCTGACCCCTACACTCAATTATGGTACTGCACTAGGTGTCGGATTGGGCTATCTTTGATATGTCAATCAGTGAGATCCTTAGAGGGAGTCAAAACTTGGGTATGTTGGGACAGTCCGAGAATTCATCTGAGTGGGTATTCATAGTGACAGGATCATCCCCTTTGTTGAACAAAGTGAATGATTGGGGAAATGCACTCTCTCTGACGAAAACCTAAACTATTGGCAGTGGATTTCAAATATGTTTGAAATTTGGTTTTGCAAAATATATTTATATAGAGATATACTTATATATTATGTTTTCACAAATTGTTTACAAAATATTTTAATTCTCGAGATCCATGTGAGTAGAGAGTGCAGCACTGTACCTTGCAGTCGAGGAACAGGTCATCTTTTGTCGGATAGTGTTTGATCATTAAGGGCTAAGAGGTTAAGTATAAAAACATTGAAGGTAATATCTGATGGGCTAATCTTGTATCTACCTACAGTCCTTGGATTTTCATAAGGTGACTAGACCCAATGACCATTTAGTGTAAATATTGGGCCCATTAAGAGTCCATGGTGATGGACTCAGGGGTTCACTGTGTCTTATAGTGAATTTGGCCAGGCCTTGTAACAAAGGCTAAATTGAACCCATGTGGCTGATGTGGAGATCAATGCTAAGGTCCCACGCCATACAAAGAGAGCCAAGTTAGCTAGTAGATTAAAGGGTAAGTGAGCTATGTGACTTAATGGGCCTAAAGCCCATTTCGAACAGGGTTTAAATTAGTTAATTAAAAAGGGGCAAAATTTGATTTATAACTTGATTAGGATTAGTTGAAGGATAAGATAAGTCTTATCCATTTAAGAGTTCAGATCCAAATATCAGATTTGGATCAAGAAACTCTCTCCTAATTAGATTAGGAAGCTGATCCAAAGAAGGCTATATAAATAGGGGCAAATTCCTCAGTTTACAATCACTCAGCAACCTGCAGAATTCTCCCCAGTTCTTGCTACCCTACCCAGTTCGATTTCTACCTGTGGAACTGATCAAGAAAGGTTCTTGATATTGTTTCTTGCTGGAAGAAACAATTCTAAGTCGTGCTCACCAGCCCTTGTTCGATTCTTGCTGAAGAATCCAGGTTCTTGCTGAAGAACCATCCTACTGGTTCTACTTCACCATACACTGTGTCATTTTTAGTGGATGCGGGTTTTGGTCTTCTCTTTGGGCGTGAAAACCTATGTTGGGAGTTACTGTTACTTCGTATTAGGTATATCCCTCACTTCTCTTTTGGTTTCAGATCTGGTCCAGTTTTGATTCAAAAATGAACCTTAAAAATGCAATTTTCTAAATTAGGGAATACAATTCTTGAATGGGAGTGAAAGAAAATTTTTGAAAATTCGCCCAACTTTCCTGTAGGGTTCGGCCATCCATATGATGGATCTCCCGTCCCTTCACGCACCTTAGTATACCTTCATCGCACCTTAGCATGTTGTCATTGCTCCTTACTGCACCTTCATTACACCTTAGTATACCACTATTGCACATTATTATGATGTCATCTGCTGTCATCACACCTTAGTATACCATCATCACACTTACTACAACCTTCATCAGACCTTAGTATGTTATCAATGCACCTTACTACACCTTCATCACACCTTAGTATACCATCATCATACCTTGTTGCACCTTCATCGCACCCAACCTTTAGTATCCCCAAAAAAAAATTGTACAATTCATGTCTTTTTATTTCCATTTTTGGTCTTTTAGGTTTTGAGTTCCTCCACACCCCCCTCATTTCCTTTGGTGGCATTTTAGAAAAAAAAATGCAAAATCCTTTTCTACATAAGTGACTTTATTTAGTCTTATCTTTGAGTAGCTGTAAATTGTAGATGTTTGTTTTATTCCTTTACATCTTTATTTTCTTTTAACAAGCATAAAAAGAATTTAGCTTTCCTTAGATTCCCAAATGTGGCCACCTAAAAATTTGCAGAATTATTTATAAATTTGAACATATGGCTGCATTCTCCCATTTTTCTTTATTATTTTTCTATTTATCTTTCTATCTATTTTGCATACTTGAACATTCACAACAACATACACTTTAATGGAAATAGAATTAGAATCCCATCTACCTATTAAAAAAAGGATAGCAGGATGCCTTGGGACTTTGGACCTTATAAGTTCTAACAAAACCCTTTAAATTAGTCAACAACCAAAGAAGCCCATTTGTCCATGATTAGAGGTTTGAAGGCTAGCAACCTTGTTAGAACCTTTGAGTATAGAGCCCAATAGTGCAATTAATCCAAACTTATTTTAACCCAGAAGACCCCTTTCAAGATTATAATGGAGCAAATCTCTGATCAACCTCCAATTGAGCAAGATTTATCGATTGTGCTCTATTAGGGTGACTTAACCAAGATGAAGGAAGAGATCAAGGACATACAAGCATCCTAGCTATAATAGTTAATTGAGTTCAATGCTTTGTGCCCTCACCCCAACCTTGACTTCCCTAAAAAACTTTAAAATCCCAAAATTTCATAAGTATGACGGAATGTTTCTAATTGGATATGATGAAAGATTGTTAGCCTAGATATTCTCCAATAGCCTAAAAGGAGCCGCTTTGGATTGATATACCCAGTTTAACCTAGACAACCGAAAGGCATGGAGCAAATTGGAAGAGCAATTTATCAAGTGCTTTGTCTTTCATCCATTACCAACATTAAGTAATCTAGAACACCTCACTCAAGGACCAAATAAAAACTTCACCAAATATTTGAAATGATGGAAGATGGTGTCTATCAAAGTGAAGGAACCTTTGCCATAGGATGATGCGGTTAGGATTTTTATCAAGTCACTTAGAGAACCCATTTACTCTTTAATGATGGGGCAAGCTTTCTAAGACTTTCATTAATTGCTAGAGAATGGAGAATTAAGAATGAGAGGATCCACATAGAACCCATAAGTCCACCAGATGAGATCAAAGAACATATTGTAATTACCACCATACATCAACCTTCCTCTTTAACACAGAAACATTGGACTCTAATTGATCATTTCAAAAGAAGAGTCAAGAGATGGTTCACTCCACTCCCTTTACATTCTTAATTGCTTCCTGAAATAATTGAAAATTGATGGTTAACTCCTTTGTCACCAAAACCAGTTCTTAATCCTCTATTGATAAACTTCAAATTAGATGAGTATTGTGCATATCATCAATGACCTAGACATTTAACAAACAATTGCATAGTTCTTATGGCACTCAAGGTCTCATTGACACTGGACGGTATCCTTTAAAGCATTGCTAAAATATATAATCAAATTTTTAATATTTTCAAGAACTACGACCGGTTTGATCCTTCATGAAGGGTATATAGGCAACCTAGGTGGTGGCACTTGGGTGCAACTCAAATAATAAAATAAAAATAAAACCTAATAAATAAATCAAAACAAATTTATAGCTAAGAATCTCAAAGAAATACTTTGTAATCTCCTTAGGATTTTTACCCAAACACCTTATAGGTTACAACCCATATAGTTTATGCATTGCTTGCATCATTTTTACATTCTATGCACACACATTGTACTTTCCAAAAATTTCACTTATGTTCATACCATGCATGTTTTCATGTTATCTAAAGTTTAATGCTGCTTACAAAAATGATGGCCGCACTAACCAGAGATCAATTTAGAATCTAGCAAGAAAGAGCTTCGAAAAGTAGTGAACTTGTTAGCCTTCAAAGTTGATTGGTTAATATTTTGGATAGGAACAACACTTTCACCTCTTGTTGTCTCAAGTCCTACACCACCTACTAAGGTGTCCAAGAAATAAGTAAATAAGTTCACCTTGTTACCTTGCCAGCCTTTCCAACTTTTGCCCATCTTGATCAAGAAACGATATTTTCATTTGTTGTCTTGGAAACCTCACATACATCCAAAGACTTTCAATCAAAAGGCTTGCTATGCTTACCTTCAAGGACTGGTACATGAGATTAATGAATTATGCCAATTGAAGCGTGCTATCCAATGCCTCATTAATAATAGCTTGCATAACCTTGAGCTCGAGCTTGTAGACATCCTACCACCTAAAACACATTTGTATTGAACTTTGTTTTGCTAATCTTTGTGCCTTGAAAGTCATTGTACTTAGCTTATTACTTAATAAAAATTTATATTTTTTTGTCTTTTGTTTGTATCCCAATACTTACTCCCAAAAAACAACAAATTTAACTAAGGACTTGCGACAAATCGCATGAATATGTTATTGAGAAAAGTCAGTTGTTGATTGAAAATCTACTTGTAATAGACACTAAAGAAGGCAATTGAATAGTGCAAAACAAAATCTACTTGTAATAGCTCTTCCTAAGTCAACATAAAAGAAATGTACCTTTACAATTCTAATATCAATTGTTGATTAATCGAATAAAGGACTAGAGGCCCACTACATGGAAAATGATTAATAGCGGCAGTTTTAAAGGGGCTAAATGGCGACGGCCGGTAGTTTTAAAAGTTGTGCTTTACCCTCTACCACTATGCACATTTAAATATTATATTTAAAAAGTATAAAAAACACCAAGCAAAAATACACCACCAATTTAGTTGATAAAAAACTCTCCGTGCACTCATAATATTTCGCGCGTGAATTCACTCGCCTAAGGCCTTAAACCGTTCCCACATTTTCAATGGTCAACAAGGAGGCCGGTCAGCAACGGTGGCAGAACGGAGAGAGGGATCGATGGAGAAGAAGCTAAGGAAGAGATCATAGAGGAGAGTGGAGAGAAGGGTGGAGGAGCAGAGCTTATTGCTGACGTTGAAGGAGATGAAGCGAGTGAGAGTCTGGTGAGTGCGGGTTTAGCATCGATGTTCTGCTACCTCTTATTGGTAGCAGAGCAAATCATGTATTGCAAAGAAAATGATCTGCCTTTGTTGGGCATCTCTTCATTGACAAAGTTAGACTTCAAATGCCGCGTGAGGACATGGTCTGTATATATGTTGCTTTTACATTCCATTGGTTTTTGGGGTTATCTTTCTTGTATTTAATATTTATTGTTTATGGTGGTTGTTCCTATTTATCCAGAAATGAGCAATATCTACATTTTATGGTGGTTGTTTATGGAATGGAGGCTACTACAAACAAGAGTGGACATATGGTGGAAAGAGTTGTACAAGGTTAAACCTCATTCCTCCCTGTTTCATTATATATTTTTGAACATTTTCTTTTTCTTTATTGTTGCTATTCTATTCTTACTCTGCCCTTTTCTTTTCAATAGCAACAAGTGTTGGAGTTGAGAAAGGTTGAAAACAATCTTAAGTTCAAATAAGTAGCTGATTCTTGCGTCGGTCCCTCTGGTAAGGTTGGCACCAAATGTTCTATGGAACCCATTTACTCACCATAGGAATCATTGTTTAGTCCACCCATTATCTTTTGTTGACACAATATCTGGGATCCACTTTTGAGAATGAAAACAGACAATAAAGAAAAAATGGACTTTTACCGTTTACAGGTTGTGAAAGTAGTGAAAACACATTAATTACTTTGGTCCCATTTTCTTGAGAAATCCCTCAAGGAAATGACCACATAGGCAAAACCTCCTCAGGCTTCTTCCCTGAATGACTTGACCAGAAATCCCTCTGCAAACAAAATTATGAGAAGCCCTAAAAGGGCCACTATCCAATGTTTGTCCAAGCTATCTAGGGTCATGGGAGGGATGGACTGAATATAGAAGTTACCTATGGCATTTTTTACAGTGTCCACTCTCAGGCTCCCCTAAAATCTCACTTGTCAGCAAGAGGTTTTTCTATTGTACCAGGCAATAGCCTCTTTTATGAAAACCCTAAATCTATTTACTTATAAGTTCATTTCCAATGATGACTTTGTTTTTAACAGGTATATCACCTCGGATCTTATTTCTCTGCAGGTTGCTGCTGGAGAACTTGAATTAAATCATGAATGTAATTTGATGCACTGGTCTCCTGAGGACTTAGAAACTAAATTATAGGTATGGACCATAATATCTTATCTTTAATAATCATTTCCTTGGTGCAAAATTGAAAATGGCTGGTTGGAGATTCTTGCATTATTATTATTGTTAATCGTGACCAACATGCAATCGCATCTTGGCTTATTGGTAGGAAGTGAGCAAAGAATTTATTTAGTACATTTCGCATTTTTATTTCAAAATTCAACATTTGAAATTTTTGATAGACAGTGATTCCAAGGCTGGCTTAACTTCTTTTTATGGTTAATAACCAAAAAAGCTTAACTCATCAAAAAATAACCAAAAAAGCTTATTAATTACTTTTCTGTTCTGTAAAATTTTATTAATGATAAGAATGTACAAAACTTAACTAATGCAAAATTTCTTCTTTAGTTCAGTGTACCACCACCCTCTACACCCAAAATATAATTCTATCTAAATAAAAAATCTTTCTACTTGAAAAATCTTTTAGCATGGTTTCCCCATCAGTGAGGAAACAAACATTTGCATATGTTTGAACAAAAGGTTTTCCATTATCTTCATAGATTCTACAGTTCCTGAATTCCTCTCCATCCAAATACTCCGGCGTACTACATGAGAAACCATAACCGCATCAATTTATCCATTTCATTATAAGGGTTGATCATTTCTAGCCCAGCCTGCCCCAGTCCACAAATTTCCAGGCTTGGGCCTAGATTTTGTGTCCAGGCCTGGCCTGGGTCCAAGCCTACATCAGACCCAAAAATTTGTGGCTTGGCTCTGGCCCAGCCCAGAATACTCATAAGCTTAATGAGCCATTACTACTATAGGTCTTCTTGCAAGGATTGGCAAATTAGTAGAAATGGACAAAATAGAGAAAATAATACTAAGAAGCAAGCTGGGATATTATTAAATGAAGCTAAGGTTAAAGAACTATGAAGCCATGTGATTTTGGAGGACCCGATTACTCACAAATATGGACTTTTAGAGGTTGAGATCTTAATTAAAAAGGTATCTTCATCCCATCAGTTGATAAAGAACTATGAAGCCATGTGAGATGCTGAGCACCTCAAGCTTGAAGGCTGATACTGGAAGACATTATCAGAATTGGCATTAGAAATAATGGAATTGATTGGTTGATTTTATACAAGGAAATCATGATTTATCAAAATGTCTTGACAAGAAGTCATCTGAAGTCTTGTGGATCTCATTTGACCTATTGGTGCATAATGTGCAGATAGAGGGAATAAAATGTGATAAACTATTTATTGATTGTGATTTGGAAAGGGTAACTGAAATTTGGAGATTCTCCCTTGCACTATTCATGGTAATGTGCTTGAACTATTTTTGGATGTCACAATATATGTGTCATGATCTTGTTTTTCCTCTAGGTTGCAGGATCAAATCCTCTTGAACATGATCTCATTTGTACTATGTTGGAAGCTTTGGAAGTATTGAAATAGTCTTCTTTATTATACAGGGTCATCCCTTTTCTAGAATTTGCACAAACATTAAATCTTTCTTTCTAATTTCTTTTTTTTTTTGGGAAGAGGATCAGTGGTCAGTTTTAGAATGTCAGTCTTGGTTTGAGCAAGCTTTATGGTACACCAATCACATCTTTTAAAGGCTTTAAAAATATAATAAATTGCCTTTCAAGAGAGCTTTTTTGTCTATTGCAGGAGATAGGCATCTTGCATATTAAGATCTATGAGGATGCTCCATTTATAATTTTATAATTGACTTAAATTCCTGAATGGTTCGCGAATAGGATCTTCTTCAAAATTTATTTTTAGAAAGAAAAAGGGTTTTCAAGATTCCATGTTAGAAAGAAAAATCCCTCAAGTATTGAAGGTTTTGAAGCTTTATGAAATTCATATTCTATTGTGGATTTGTAATAGTTTATATGCTGCAATGACAGAGTAGTCATACAAATCATCTCAAACCTAATTATTCTACTTATTTTGTAGGCTTCTTCAGGCTGCTATTGGTGGATTTTCATCTTTTTTTCCTGATTATCAGGAAAGAGTTGCAAGACATAAAACAGCCCATTTGTTATGTAATCTTTATTGAGAAGAATTTATATAGAAAGCATCTCTTCCTGATATAAAATAATCAATAGTCAAAGATGTCTTATTATAACATGACTGGAAAAGGTCCCATTCAACTTCCAATCTGTCATCCCTCTAAAGCACACAGCAAGGTGGAAAAAACATTTTAACTTCCTGTTATAAATTTCCCTTAGGTTCTTTCCTATGGCCCTCAAAATAACATAAAAGAAATTTTTTTTTTCTCTCTGAGACATTTCAGTTATATTTCTTCCCATTTCACACCAAGACCTCGTTTTTCTACCTCTTCTACCTCAAATAAAAATGTCTTATTGAAACATTAAACACCATGAAAATTTAATCCAGTAAGGTTACCATCCATTTAACTGATAGCTTTCTATCTCACTATGATTTTTTTGGCATTCAAAACTTAGTGATATATTAGATTGTTGGCATCACCAAATTGGTCATTACAATTTGTCTTTGCTTGGTCAGTATTCTACATCCACCAGCGTCTGATATTAGTTACAAATGATGCTCTACCATTGATGTGTTTTAGATTTTCCAATTAGTAATTTGTTGATATCTTTTTTCATTTTACAGTTACATTTCTTCCTCTGTAAGACAGAAGTATGACGAAATCAAATTTCCTTTGAGTCTCAGTTGCTTACTTGATTGGCCATCCTATTCTGGGGTATTCATTGGATATTGGAAAAGAGCATGTCAATCTGGTTGATGAAAGGCTGCAGAAGCTGATATACAGTGGGCAGCTTGATGCGAAGGAACTAGACAGGTATCGGTTTGATTAGATATAAATATTGGAAATCCAAATTTAATTAATATCTTCTATTTCTATAGATTGAACTAAAGAGATTGTGTAAATAGTTGCAACAATTTAATTAATATCAGTTTGATTAGAGATTGTGTTCCTCAAGATACATTCTCTAGTGCTGTGATCCCTCACTGGATGAGATGACACTAGGGCTGAAGTCCTTGGGGGTAATCCACTGCTTTTGGAACATGATGACAAAATGGACCCAAATCTCATTTAAGAAAAGGAAATTAATCAATAATTGAGAGACGGACTCCATTACATTGCATGGGGCATATTTATTTTCCATCTCCTGTCCCCATGATATAAGGTGGCCAGTTGTTGAGATCTTGTCTAGGAAAGTAGTCCATATGAGGAATGAGAATTTTCAAGGAAACAAGTTGTGTGTTTCTCACAAGGGCTGTGCAAAATGACTTTACTGAGAAGTAATCATTCTGATTCATATCCATGTTTTCCTATTTTTTTCACCTAGCCTTAGGATTGTATTTACGAGTGGACAGGTCCATGTGTTTCCTCTCTTTTTTGCAATTTCTTTTTCCTCTCTTTTACTGATTGCAATCTGAAAGCATGTGAACAAATGTTGTTTATAAATGTGACCATTTATTTTGTTAAATGGTTCATTTACTCCTATTTCGTTTTCTTTGTATGTAAACACTTAACCTTAATGGAGAGGCACACAAAATGGTTAGTAAATTCCACCATTTTTAGCTGTATAACACGCCTATTTCTTCTATCAGGACGCTAGGCGGTCAGGTTCTTTTGGATGGACAGAGAAGGCATCAGTAAATGGCTTTGTTTGTAAGGTAAGTTTGGGTGCATTGCATTAAATTTGGTTATTCTACATGTGGTCTGAAGTTAGACAATCCAAACTGTTTGCTATTGAGTTACTGAGGTACAATGATTTTCTATAGATGCCTATTGGTCTTCATGATCCTCTTTCTGCCTAGGGAGCAGAGACTGGTCCATACTGGGAAATGTTGTTACCCAAAAGTATAGATTTTGGTGGCCATATTTCTGCTTTTAAGGATGGATGCATGGATGAGATAACTCATCTTTCAATCCTGTTTCTTGTTCCATCAAACAAGTAGTTTTGGTGGTCTGACCTTCACTTTCTGCCATAGATTTTAGTCTATGAGATTGTATGTTGAAAAGGCAAAAAAATGACCAACTTGATTACAGTTGCATCTGATTTGGTGCACAAGGATGCACAGCCAGAAAACTCTCTGACAATGTATTCTGATTGGATGTTTATAATTTTTCTAATGTGGTGGATTTTCATCTGGATTCTAGAATATCACCTTCATGGGATTGATTCGTCTCCCATTCATCTGGTGCTGCAATGAGTGGAGAGTAGCCTCGTCTCATTATTGCATCTTGGCTTAGTTGTCTTTTATGTAACATTGACAACTTGCTATTAATGTACTATAAATCTTCTTGTTCTATTGAACATAGAAAATACATGATAGGGTTAGATTTGGTTACCATTTCCACTGATTTTTGTCCATTATGCTTTCTCATTGTCTAAGGGTATGAATTTTTTTTTTTTTTTTATGAGGGTATGAATTGAATTGCCTCTTTTTTTTTCATCTAGCTTCTTTCTTCATCATCTGTTGTGATGCCTCTATACATTCAGTATGACTTGGAAGAACTGAATTCAGCCTGGAGCTGGCTTCATCATTCGACATCCTCTCATTTCTGGATACCACTACCACAACCAAAGGTGGTAACTGATTCAAAGTCTCAGGCAAAGCAACGGAACATTCAAACTTTAAACTAGGAAAGCCAAAGTGCAGTGTACGGAGGTTTAGTTCAGCAAACATTGACAATGGTTCAATCAATTCTACCTCTGAATCTGAGAAAGCTAAGCACAATTTGAGGAAAGATACAAGCCACCCAGTAGACTCAGTGCAGGAACATCCACAAAATGAACTTGAGAAGAGGTTAATCGTAATTTAAGAAAGGTTTCTAACTCTATACTGGAAGTCTCTGATCGTGTAGAGGTTGAGAATGAAAAGTCAAAATGCAGTTTGAGAAAGGCACTATCTCTCCAATTCTTGATGTTTTAGAACAGGACAGAAGTGATTGTGCTGAGAAAACAAATAAAGATGCAAAAATTGTAGTGTCCAAACAGCTAGATGTAGAAACATCTCCAAAACCAGTGACACCAGATGGATTAGCTAATAATGTGCTAATTGATGATCATCCTGTAATTGAGTTACCCTTGCAGATCAATGTAAAAGATGAGAATGTTCCTGTGATAATTTAGATATGAGCAAGTGGCTATGATGCTTTTATGACTGGGTGTGTCTTTGCCCAGGTTTGCAGACATCTAGATATTAATTTCCAAGGAGCATATGAGATTTGAAGAAGACATAAGAGTCTTTGAAGAAGAGAAGAAAGCATCTAAAGCTGGTTACTATTTTGATCAACAAAAAATACAAAAAGAAATAGAAGAAGACATGAGAGAGCAGTTTGAAAAACACATTAAGTCCATGAGAACAACTTTACTAAGTCATCCATCAAGACAATCAAGAAGACAGTGAAGATATGAAGCATTGTCTAATTACTACTATGTATATGAGAAGACAAGAAGAGGAAGAGGGTTCGAAGAGTAGTATACTGTGAATGTCGACTAATCAAAATAATTTTTTTTTTCTTTCCTATAGGACTAAAGTTCCAAAGGTTGTCAAGAAAAGAAACAAGCTATTTTGTATTGAATTTTAATTTGGATGAATAAAATTACAAGTTTATTTAATAAATGAGATTTGTAGCCAATTTGAGACTTTCATCAAAACTTTCCTTTGCCAAAACCTACAAATTTCCAAGGATGCATAAATCAAAGGGCAAAGAAAAAAAACAAGAAAAGTGAAAAGAATGCAAAAGGAAAAAAGAGAATGAAGAAAAAAAAAAGCAAAGAGAAACTAGGGGCAAACTGATTAAAAAGTCCAATATTTTCAAGAGTAATAATTCCCCTTTGAGTGACCAACTAGGGTTAGGCTTGACATGTATTCCTTTCCATGAATGATGTATACAATCAAGAGATGAAGGGAGGCTGCCGTCAGTTGTTTAGTTTACCTTGTTCAGTCTAACCCCTTTTATTTAATACACTAACCAGCCTTTTGAGCCTTTATGCTAACCATTTTCTTCATCTAAACCCTTCTCCAAAGAGATGGATGTCAAATGTTCAAATGCCCTTACACCGAAAAAAAAGAAAAGAAGAAGAAGAAATGAAGTCAAGAGGAGAAAACTGTTGGACAATTTTTCTATGCCCTTAGCTTCAATCAATTTTGATGTACTTTTGATATTTAATGTAAATAAATAAAGTACATGTTTGATTCATGTTGTGTGGTATGCTTCTGCGTAAGACCCTAAAACTGGACACTTAATGAGACTTGTGTTAGTTTTAAATGTTCACAGTCGTTGGATAAGTCTGGGGAGATTTATCCTGCCAAGGCTGACACTGGTGTGTTGCCAACTGTTGGGGTGGCTTGTCTCA